GGATCATATTGTGAAATCCTTACCTTCAACGGTAATATCTTGAATACAAAATCGTAAAATAATTGTCCATATCATCCCAAGAGTCATTTTGATATTCCCATCCACGATTTCTATCGAAAAACTCAGTAAAACGGTTCAATACCCTCAGCGCCAATAGAAACTAGCTGAACGCCTTTACTTTCTATATAATCTAATGCCTTATTAACATTCGCGAGCTTGTGGAAACGCATTTTTCCTCTATCGGGTTTCGGTAACGGCTCCTCAGATAAAGTCTCTAACAATTGAATAAGCTTGAGACCGTCAGTGAAATCTTCCTCAATATTTTCAATCGAGCATTTCACTTTTCGTAGATATGAATTGCACCATGCTGTGAAAGTCTGACAGGAATTTAATTATAGCCTGTTGAGAAGTACCTTTTTCTGCTGTATTTCCCACATTGGATCCAAATAGGCCTGACGGTCCCATTCCTCCTCCTCTTCTTCCTGTACAGAAGGAAAGTATTCATCCGGATAGACTGTGTAACCATACTCCATTTTACAAAAAATATTCAAAGTAGCCGCTTTCAAAGGAAAGAGTAAAGTGCATGATGTTGAGTCATACAAACGAATAAAAATGCTCAATAACAAGAAAGTTGTGTAGTTATAAAACAAAGAGTGCATGTGAACATATTAGTTATTTGTATACGCTCTTCAACAAAGAAATGGATGATCTTGTTTTGATCATCAGCGCTCATGGTTGGCCAACTGTAGCCGTAAACAAATCACCGAAACCAATAGCTCTGTTGATGTTTGACAATAAATGCTGACCACATTAGTTTTATTGGACTCATTTAGCTAAAGACGCTCGGTCATGCATCCGCACCTGATCACGGTTTGGCACGACATGCCTAACTTCTCCTGTAATCACAACCTGGATTAGATCAGTCACCTATCGATAGATTGATAATCTACCAAATATATCTTCCAACCTCATGGCTTCTGTTTTTGATTTCACTGGGTACGTGCGATTCAATTATATAAGGTGTTACTGTTATGTGTTGTCAAACTACAATACCTGTGGTATCTTCACAAATAAAAGAAAATAAAGCAGGAGACTCAATTTTTTGCTTATCTAGTTGCATTGTTTATTCAGTTCATGAGAATTCAGCTTATTATCTCACCTATAGAACCTAATCAAACTTTAAAAAATTTCAGACCATATATGCAGCATAGGCTTTAGAAATGAATATTAGTAAATCTAAACTCATGATGAAAAATGTTTATGCAGCTTCGAAGTGTACCACGATCCTCTATTTAGTTACTTTCTTGCTTCTCAAAGTTTATCAAATTTTCCAAAATTTTGTGAATCGTCAACGTTGTTGATCTCTGTAGAATGATTGTAGCCTACTAGAGTTAGTTGGGGATGGTTTGACTAACAGCTAACGTCGAGGACATACTTCACAGTAAGCACCTAACGTGGATTACTCCTTCGTCTTATCAAGGTGCTATGGATGCTTTGAAAACAGTGAAACACAAAGGATGTTGTTACAGAAATATTTTATTCGAAGTAGGTACAAGCGAGTGTGACCGCCACGGCATGGGTCATATCATGATGTACGGTAAACTGATGAGTGTTAGTGTGGAGTGGGTTGCTTATATTCACATAGGTAGTATGTAATGATGGTCAGGCAGAAAATGTATTTCAGTAGAAGATCGACAAGGAAAGAACGGGAAAGAAACGCGATTGGCATGAAAGTGCATGAACAATATTAATAGGAGACAATGAACTGATATTTGCAGAAGGAACAGTCAAGATTGTGACAATTGATTTGGTAATTTGAAAATTTACTGTTTACTGTATGGTTATCAGGTTTTAGTGAGATATTCTGTAATTTTGTGGCCAATACATTTGATTGTTCTCATTCTTGTTCTTGTTCACAACGTTAGTTGTCCCTGATATCGGTCGGGATCGATGATCTGTTAGATATTCGGTGATTCAACCGCCGGATGATTTGGCTAGCGCTCAATGACATATCACTGCCCCTGCAATACTCCCCCACCAGATTCAACGACCGTTTCAATCGGTACCAAACATGTTGGTTGGAGTCGCGTTCCGGAGTTTTCCGAACGATTACTATGAATCCTCCAGATATCACCGAGCTGTTAAACAAATGAAAAATAGGAGACAGAAACTAATCGGGAAAGAGAGTAATAATAAGTTTATAAAATGTTGGTCTAATGTAGCGCGATTAACCATAGAAATAATAGAAAAAACATAACGTTTTAAAGTTCTATCGAGTCGCGTTGAAATAGATAGCTTTGACGAGTGATTGAGTCCTTCAGATGATAAAGGTTAGGTTTGAGGCAAGATTAATCATATGACAGGGATGGCACGACAAGTGTAGTATAAATAGATGCCGATGTTGGCAATGCCATCGGTTTAAAGAAGAAAGTTAGACAGTGTTTTTGACAGCTTCTGCTCGTAAGCGTCGAATTTCGGTTTTATTTATATGCAACAGACTGACCGTAAATACAGAAGTATAACCGTGAAGATAAGTTGAATAACTACAAAAGTTTGGGTGTGTTATAACGTCACACCGAAATAACATCGTCCTTTGGTATATTGACGGCTGCACTGAATGTTCGTTTAGGTATTGTTAGAGTAACAGTTGGATTTGTGAATAAAAACATACGAAAACTATGGTGGGTTTTCTGGAGAGTTCCAGAGTTTGTTTAGATATTTTCCGAACCCGGATTGCTTGTGAATAAATCGAAAACTGAAATTAAATGACTTTCGTGTAATAAGGAGGTCAAGCCATGGTTTACCGTGTGAGATAACTGCAAATACAAAGTGATAGTAAACATTAATTAAAATGGTAACTACCAATGTAACTAAAATTTAGAAGGTTCAGATAAAATGTCCATTTCGTAAAAGGCTGATGTAAAGAGCCTGTTATCTAAAGTTGTGTGTTATATTACGTACGACAAAGTGTCTATCTGTGACATGAACTGTGATTGCTCGTGTACATACACGTCGACTGATAAGTCATAAATGTACATGATTTCGACTAAAACTTGTCGGTAGTGACAGAAGATTTGACTACTCTACGTCATAGCAACTACGGAATGTTTTTAGACATCATGGACATAGTGCGAAGTAATCTAATGCAATTATGAAACTCGCCTGGTTTACTCTTGCTTCGAAGTAATCAATGTTTGAAGTATACAGTACATCGAATACAGAGTATATACTTGGTACTGTTGATTAAATTCTTGGATTACGACAGCATTGTAGACTGAATTCGTATGAGTTCAAAATTAATTTAATACAAGTACGTAGCATTACCTGATGAACATTCTGAACGAAATTTAAGATTGCATAAAATTCGTAGTTCAAACACACTGTAAATTTCTAACATCCGTATCCTTTGTTTGGCCATGAAATTCAGCAATTGGAAATTAGACAGGCACTGGTCAAGTAAGCCAAACATTCTAATGGATAGTTTCTGACGGGAGATAGTTGATAGTGATTAATCAGAAAGATGAATCCATAATCGACAGTTAATCTTGTCTTGCTTATACAAGTGGATAAGTCGCAAACAGATGTGCGTCTGTGTTGCCTTGTGTCTGATATTTTGTGTTGATATTTTAACAGACATATTGCATAGAAGCATTTACATACTGCTAATGCTTGTTAAAAAACCACGATGGTCGATATTAATCGTAGTTCATTAGTCAGCTCTATTGGTTGAACTAATTATTTCAGAAGAATAAGCAAAGAATGCAGTAATAATGATCATAATGCTAGGTTTCGTTGTTCAAATTCTTTCTCACCAGTGTGCCTTACTGTGGCTGGGGATAATCTACAACTGGAAAAAGAAATCACATAAAAAGATAAATTAGTATTCCCGTTTATTAACATCCGTGTGCGCGTGTCGATGAATAAATTATGGTTCTGTAGCAGGTCCATACCGATGATTGATATGGAAACATCTACAACAACGAAAATCCAGTGAATGGGCTTGAGTAAGCCTACTTTAAGTTAAACTTACCATCTACCATAGATGGCGGATACATGACCGATTGCATTCATCTATGTTAGTCTGTCGCAACTAATGTGATCAACATCCAATGTCGAAGACTTACAGGGCTATTTATTTTGAGGAATTACTTTTCCCTACAAACTCATATTCATTTAACATGTCTGTGCTGCATACCACATAATTTCTGACAAAAATGGATAATCAAAAGGTTTGAATAGGGGGAATTTATAAAATTCGGAAGTCTTTTACCATAAATCTTTGTATCCGCAACAAACAAAACACTCGTGCTAATGATAATCAAGCTAACGATGTTGAAGATAGATAGTTGTAATAAGTCATACTTCCAAACCCTGCAGTTTGGAGGAGTGAACTACAGGGTCCACTTGAAAGTGTCACATGTATAGAACTTCTTTTCTGCCCTAAGAATTCTACCCAGGAAACTAGGGATTAGAGTCAGATAGAGGGACGAATTAATATCATGACGGAGAATACCAGTAATAATCCTTTACATTTCAGTAAACACGATTTAAGTTTTATCGCTAACAGATTTTCAAACAACGGTCTGTGGTGGGTAATACCTTATAACGAGATAACACAAGTTGTAGTATAAATTGTCACAAAAGATTTCACTGCGTTTGCCATTAACGTTTTCGGTAAACTCTTAACTTCCATTTACTGCAAGTTTTATTTATTCATCGCTTCTTGCAAATTCCATGTGGCATCAATCCAAAAGACTAAATACTTTTACCGTATGTATGTTTTCTGAGATGGAAAACTGATTAGTCATTTTGTTCGGTATTTCTCAAACAAGAAATTGATGTAAGAAACTGGTGATCCATCATCATTTTGATGAGTTTGAATTGGATATTGTCCAGCGCAATGTTCAAAGTAGACATCTTTTGCAGCCTTAGATTTTTGCGTAATCATGCCAACGGTCTGGGCATTTTGAAATCATATCCTTTATCTGACCGTGCGTTTTATGGGTGTAAATGGGCGTTTTGTTGATGAATCACAACAAATGGCAAGTTCTGAAATTACTTGTGTAGCCACGGTTACTGTTTATAAATGGTGATTTGTCTCGTTCATTTGGTTAGTAATTAATAACTTGAAAGATAATGTTTTCGTGGGAAATTTTACTCTATTTTTCTGTCAATTCGTTCGAAGTGAGGGATATTTTATTGCTTTTTTGTAAGCATAGTTTGGTAGCTTTTGGAACAATAATTATTTTTAAATACGATCTTCATACTGAGACTGTATATGTTAATATCTGGATGGCTTAATAATTGTTAGTCATCTTTCTGAATGTAATCGTGGCTCTAGGTCCTCATAAACGACTAGTAACCTTACTGTTATTAAAGGTATCTCGAATGTGTGATCATATGTTCATGAAGACCGGTTTATTGTTAACAGAACGACCTTAAAAATCATAGTTCCAATTTATCTCAAAAAAATAATGTGTCAGGACTCCAGTATCCGTGTTTTTGTTGCTGTTTAGCTCGAGACGTCCAGTTATCTCATGTTCGGAAAAGTCCAGGCGCAGATCCTGACCCATCAAGAAGTTTTTCTCATTTGATGTATGGAATATGTTATACTTCGACTCAAAACTAAAGACGTGAACCGGCATGTATTTATTAAACGAGGGTGATTTCTCTGTGTATTAGCCTACTTTGCTACTGAAAGTTTTCTAGATTCTTAATCTCAATGTTAACATGAAATCATCCTCAGCCACATCTTGGTATGCTCAGTTAATATTTTAGATCGTTCAATACTCAAGTCCTAGCTGTTAAATCTATTTTCAACTTGAATCAGTTCACAGATTAACAAAATCTCACATAGTAGTCTTATCGTTTCTGTCGTTGGTGTAGAAAATAGTCTCGCCAATAATTCCCCAACGTTATGTGTTAACACATCCCGTGGTGGAGGCAGGGGTGATCATTTTATGAATGAAATGTAGGATGGCTGCTAGCTTATAATCGTGACAGCTTGATCAGAATTTAATGGTCATGCAGTTTTGATTGAAACATCTTAGCCAGACCTAAAAGTTATCCCAAAGTAGTTTTGTTTTATCTTCTACATTGGTAGTAAGATGGACATTGGGAGACCGAACCCAAAATGAAAAGTTGGATGTTTCTTGATAGACGTTTTATTACTCTATATATTCTATGCCAGTTGCACTACTGCTTTGCTGTACCTTTATGGTGAAATTCCATTATTAAGTATTTCGTAGGTAAAGATTTATTTTAACCGAAACTATTGGTAAAATTTATGATTCCTCTACCTATTTGTCAAGTCTCTATCACTTTATAGCCGAGTAGATTTGTGAAGTCCTGTTGTTGCTAATCATGAAGGACGATAATGAGAAGGGCAATCAAAATGTAAATTGCCCTCAAATGTCCTGGTACGGCCGAAGATGGGGAGTCAGCTCTCCCTCTAGAAATGCTCTCACATGTCCATAAGTATGCAGCCACTGCCAGAGAAGTCCTACTCACTGCCTTTTCGCGGCAGGGCTGTTGCTTACGGAGTTGAGAGGACGTAAAGCGAGTGTCTGCCACTTTAACCTGGTTGGTGGATATGGATGATCCATTTAGAGGAGTTGGGAAACGCTGATTCCAAACCAATAGTGCACATAAGCTCCAGAAACTTGAGGGGAAAATGGCGTATCAACCTTTTGTTTGTCACTGGCTACCATGGGAATGTATATCCTAACGTTGCTCCACTGCCTAGTGGATTAGACCTCTGGGTCAAAGGCTCGGAGAGTGGCCCTCTAAGAAAACTGCCTGCTTCGGTTTGGGCACCCGTGCGGTATTCCAGCCCTCAAACAAATCGAATGATTTGTGTAGCGCTTATGCATTTTGTACCTCCTTATACCAATATTTGTGTTTAAATAAATAAATAAATCATCGTCCTGATGAATTATTGCGAAATTCCCCCTACTATACACAGTTAAGGTTATCGTTTATCACTTAAAGTGTCACAAGCGATATGTTCACTGAACACATGCTGAAACTTGTGCTAGGGTGCTCACTTGATATAGATAGTAATCAGTGGTTTCTTTGTCAGAAATGTCAATCCTTACATTATTTTATTTACGACTTTTTTTCCAGGTAAAATTGGGTAAGAGGAGCTGGAAGACGCACTTGTTGAAACCATTATCATGGACTCCAAATATTAAAGCAAAACAAGCAAATACATGTTGGGTGCAACTGTCTGGTCATCAAGGTTAGTTTTGAACAGCAAGATAGTTTGTCAGTGTTATGAAAGATATCGCCTTTTTGAGAATTCCTCTTTCATTTACTGTCCTTCCTTTTAATAACTGTTAATACTAAAAGATTACGTACAGTTTTATTTCATTAATAAATGAGTACTTGACATGAAAAAGTTTGATCCTGCTTATTGTTATCAGACACATTGAGATACTCATCTGGTCATGACAAACGGGTTTAGTTTCCCAGTTTTATAGGCTTTATCATAGTTTCATGCGATTTTTTTCGTTTTCGCGGTACTTTTTTATAGATTTTGTATTTTAAAATGCAACATGGAAATATATCTACTCGTATTATCTGTACTTAAATCGTTTTGAATATGTTTAGTTTATACCATCTTGTTTCTGTGATGCTTTTGAATTCCAAGTTCACTTATTTGATAGACTTCTTGATGCCATGAAAGTCAAATGCAAGGCATAGATAAGCCTGTGTAAACTTTCGTGCGGCTTGCTGATTCGTGTTTGTAATTTATTTGTAAGTTGGTGATTTTTCAGGTTTGATCGGTTTTGCGCCATGAAATTGATTCAAATCAAAACACTTATAAGCAACTGGCATTTCAGTGAATTAATGATGCCAGGTTTAAATTTATGTGCATATATTATTATGGTTTGATGAAGTTCCAGTAGCTCACTTCACATCACAAAGGATTCTGAAGATCTAATTTTGTCTTGTTTTTGGCGATATCTTAATATAGAAATTACATCACTGTAATAATCGATATTTTTCAACCTACTAATCCAAGAAAATGCTTCAATTTCTAGGATTTTTTACTTCGGAAATAAACCTAAAACAAATCTGATAAAAATGAACTAATCGGTTGGAATCCATATAGGTTCCTTAGTGGAATAAGTAACGGCTGTGGAATTACTACAAACATTGTTTAAGAATATATGATCGTTTCTGACCTTGTATGTTTGCCGTTTGAAGAATTTGATAAAAAACCTCATTGATCTAATTAATGCAGAAAATAAGCGAGTCTTCCAATCTTCTAATGCAAAACATCTTTGAATGATCTCTTTGATTTTTATGTGCTTTAGATAACACTGAAGTGATTGAAAGTCAAATACATATTACATTCAATTGCTTTTTGTTAATGATTCTTCAGGTAGTCTTATATCTAATGGTAAAGGAAGCGTTTTAAAACGTTACTGCCAAAGTGAAGCCCAATGTTTATTACAACTCCAGCTAGATATACTGAGATCATTTGTCCCCAAGTATCAAGGCGAGAAGCTGCTCGATGGTGAACGTATCCTTTTTGGTGTAATTGGTTTTTGTTGATGAAAGTAAAATGAATCATCAAAAGGCAACACTATCCTCACTCACTAATATTCTTATATTATACGTTTGTGTAAACTTATGACTTCAGTGATTTCACTCAGCTAAACCAGTCGTCGTAGAGAGAGGATTTAGTTAGATAATGTGCTTATGATCGGGGTTTTGGCCGAGTAGTTTGTTAAGCTTTCCAGTGCTAATCATAAATTGATATGTTTTAATCCACTATCTACTTAGGCTTTATATTATCTGTAGTCGTCGAATAATAAGTATAAATCAATCTAGGGTGCAAACCTACATTTATTTGTTTAAACACAAATATTGGTATAAGGAGGTACAAAATGCATAAGCGCTACACAAATCATTCGATTTGTTTGAGGGCTGGAATACCGCACGGGTGCCCAAACCGAAGCAGGTAGTTTTCTTAGAGGGCCACTCTCCGAGCCTTTGACCCAGAGTTCTAATCCACTAGGCAGTGGAGCAACGTTAGGATATACATTCCCATGGTAGCCAGTGACAAACAAAAGGTTGATACGCCATTTTCCCCTCAAGTTTCTGGAGCTTATGTGCACTATTGGTTTGGAATCAGCGTTTCCCAACTCCTCTAAATGGATCATCCATATCCACCAACCAGGTTAAAGTGGCAGACACTCGCTTTACGTCCTCTCAACTCCGTAAGCAACAGCCCTGCCGCGAAAAGGCAGTGAGTAGGACTTCTCTGGCAGTGGCTGCATACTTATGGACATGTGAGAGCATTTCTAGAGGAAGTGCTGACTCTCAATTTTGCAGGTAAATAAGTTATTCGTTGGTCAGTCAGCTACAACGTAGGACTAGGCACGTACATGCATCCGTCCAAGTTGCCACACCTCATTAGCCCAACAAGATGCACACCGAACTCATGGAAGTATTCTCTTCACTGGTAGTAATATAAAAAAGAAATTATGTATAAGGATATAGTACAGGAAGAAAGATTTAGTTGGTAGAGAAGAAGGTATAAAGTAATTTTAATCCTCATAGTTGAAATCATGAGTCAATTGAAGCTAGACCAACATGGAAAACCTGGATGCACTAGACGGCCTTTCCTTGAGTTCTGGTGGGAAGCAGTGACCAGTGGAGTTCTACCAAGTCTGTTGTAGAAATATCAACTCACTAAAGACAATTGGCGAACGGTTGCTGAAAATCGTGGGTTGGTTGAAGTTAGACATTAACACCGTTGGATGCCGATTCTTACGGAGCCATTTAAGCAGACAACACACAGGCGACTGTTAACGGGCATTCATTCTAATAGTGCATGTTCTGGCCTCTTACTTAGTGTTATGCCTACACCCGCCAATCCATGAGAACTAGCTATCGGGTCGCCAGATAAATGGAGGGTGTGTCTCGTCGGCCCTCCTTTTTGGCAAGGTGAGGTCAAGTGCATGACCACACTAGAATTCTGTTTGCGTGTTTCGGAGACACAACATAAATCAGTGGTACGAGATTCTAGGATTTTCGCCAAGGAGGCCAGCTGGCCAATTATACATAGAGTGCGTATGTTGAAGACTGCAATGTGCAGTTTGGAGCGAAGTCTCAGTAGACCCTGGGGCAGTGTTTTGCTCACTAGAATCGTTGGCTATGATGACACTTGAGTAGAAAGCCAAAAGAGGAAGTTTAGTGTTGAAAATCGATATAGAAGGAATTAAAGGAGATTGATTATGAATACAGTGATCTTGAGTGCTGTTAAAGGTATAAGGGCGGTTATCACTTCGCCATCACCTACAGTCGGTCACAACGTAGAACTTCGTACGTACGTACATCAGTTCGAATTACCTTGCTACATTAGCACATAAATGCAGTTGTCGGTTCAAATCCCATAGTGGTATATGTAGTAAGAGTATAAGCAGTAATCGCAAAGATTAGGGTCTGAAGATGTTATTCAAGAAGTATAATCCATTGAACTAAATTTGGAAAGAGAAAAACAGAAAGGGACATGACGAATTCAGAGGATTAGAATTTGGGAGAACACAAAGAGTGGATGCACCTTCGCCATCACAAACGATTTTGAGCCACGTCATTCAGGGTCTCTAACCATCGATTGCTATTATTTCGCGAATCCCAACTAGGTAGTCTACACCTACCAGCATGGCTCAGTCCACTTGTCATGGATTTGTGCCACGTTTTGGTCTGGCCGCCGCTAGCGTTCTTCCATGCTACTTCTACACTGAAACGTCGTGGTCGCCCACACCTTGGAAGGGTTATTCTGGAGCTACCTGGGAAAGAAACTGGATTACGGGCGGTCTTAGTGACCTGAGAGCGTGACTGCAGTACCCAAGGGACAACTTCTTGAGGTCGGTCACACATGACCTTTTTGTAAGTAATTTTCGTGTTAGCTCCGTACTTATCGAGACCTTATCGCCGGGGACGGATATCCGTGGGATAAAGCGAGTTGTGCATTTTTAGGGTCGATTTTTTGTAACCCGAGCATTGCTGTTATGTTGGTTGTCTGGGGGAAACACCTTACTGTCGTCACACTTCAGTATAAGCAGCAGTGCGACTTCGCCCTCGGACCTTGGATTTGCTGCTTTTTGTCTTATCGCTCTTCAATTGACCTGGCATGATAGGACCTTGAGGAACGATTGTTCCAGACAGCATAGCTTGATTGGTTCATCACGATAGGCAAGCCCGGCTACCACGTCAAGGTAGCAGCAATAGTCGGGAAATAAGTTATTAGTTCTTTTCAAAGGTGTGCATTTTATTTCTTGTATTCATTTCTTAACACTTGATTAATATATTTGAAGGTTACGTAAAAATGCAAGATTTGCTGTACAATTTTAAATCACCATCAATAATGGACTGCAAAATTGGACAGCGTACTTTTTCAGAAAGTGAAGTCATTGGAGACTCTTCAGAAAATATTCGGAAAGTGAGTGCATTTCTATTATATATTTCTATTTTATTACGATGTGATGTGAACGTAATGATTGCTCCAGGTTTATTGTTAATGAGTATTTTCGCTTACTTACTGTTAACGGTATGGTAAGAGTAGGGAAAAATCTTCAACAGACCTTTCATATTTTGAAACATCTCTTTTCTCATATCTCTCAAATAAAATAAATCAAATAATCAATCTGTATAAATTCGCATCATAAACTGACCTTTTTGTTTTTATATTCAAACACTATGGTTGTAGTTTTGCAACTTCAAAAGGGCATACCAAAAGGGTTGCTAATTGTCTACATAACGACATCATAGTTGGAGCGACTAATCTTATAAACCTGATATAATATTAAATTTCTATATTGTCTCAGTCAGAATCCTCAAAATTGTTTGATTCGTATCCTTTATAATATAGCCAATGAAACTAAACGTTTTTTATCGCTTAACATCACATTCCTTTACAATTATTCAATTAAACGCTGTGTGTTTAATAAACCCATTAGACGTATTAACAGTTAATAACCCGGCAATAGCAATTCATATTTTTCAAAAAAATAGTGCTTGGTGATACTTGTTAGGTACAATATATTGAGACCTTTTCAAGACATTTCTTTTGAATTGGCACCAGTCTAAATTATTTATAATCAATACAGGTTTAATTTTATTTTTCTTATCGATTATTGCTGGGATTATGAAGCTTGTTTTTAAAAAAAAACAAAATAGGATCTCTACTTGAAAATGATGTCTACTTCACCTAACGCACCGACTGAAAGAGAACATCATGAAAAAGGTGTTTCAAAACTACGCTATTTGCAGTGGCGTGACACAATTAGCTCAACGGCTGAGTATGGTTTTCGCATTGAAGCAATCAAGGTATGGTATTTTATGTCTTGTGACTTAGTGGTTTTGTGTTATTTACATCTTAACTAATCAGTCATAAACAACTTAACGCATGGCACACATGTGTATCGGTCCAAATAGCCATATCACATAGAGGAATATAATTTGAAAAGAAAAAGTGAATTCGCGGAATAAAAGTTTCTAAATGACCTGAACACTTTGGGTTTATGGGAATACATATAGTGAATGCATCTGCCTCATTATGACTGATTCTGGAGCATGTCACCCAACATCCCCAACCACCGGTCATAATAATCTCTCATCCTCACCTCAACCATTTGGTTTAAATTCAGTATGGTAACTCCAGTACAAGTAGCTAATTGTCATTGATCATTTACTTACAGTGTTTCTTGTTATGTTAACCTGTACACATGGATCAAATCTTTTAACAGAATCCTTGATATTTGTTACTGCGCTTGGAACCTTGAATTAAGTTTCAATTCTTGTGGGAAGATAGTTAAAATTAAAATATGTAGATAATAATATCAATGTTAGATGATCATCAGTAAGATATACCATTAATATATTTGGACGAAGTCTTATAGCTACATTTTATGATTCATAATTGTTTTGTATACATTACATTTTCCAATATAAGTTGATCACACCTATGTTTCTTGATGACAATCTTATCGGCTAGAAATGTTTCATTAGTAAGACATGTAATTCATTGTTCCTTAACAGTTTAAATAAATCCCGTTTTATAATTATACTTAAACCTTTTCGTTATAATTTCCACCGCGTTTCCCATTACGTCTGGATAGTCAGTCAGTCAGTCACAACGTAGAACTTCGTACGTACGTACATCAGTTCGAGTTGCCATACCACATTAGCACAGAGATGCAGTTGTCGATTCAAATCCCATAGTGGTAGAAGTAGTAGGAGTATAATCAGAAATCCAAAAGATTAGGGGTTTGAAGAAATTATTGAAGGAGTATAGTACAGTGAAATAAATTTGGAAAGAGAAAAAGATAAAGACATGAGGAATTCAGAAGATTAGAATTTGGTAGAACACAAAGAGTGGATGCATCTTCGCCATTGCAAACGATTTTGAGCCATGTCATTCAAGGTCTCTAACCATCGGTTGCTGTCATCCCGCGAATCCCAACCAGGTAGTCTACACCTACCAACATGGCCCAGTCCACTTGTCAGTGACTTCATTGATTTGTGCCACGTTTTGGTCTGGCCACCCCTAGCTTTCTTCCAACCTACTCCTACACCATGAAACATTGCACGTCGGGGCAGTCGGTGGTCGGGCATACGTAACACATGTCCCAGCCATCTCAACTGATGAAGTTTCACTACTTCATCAATCGATTTGCCATCCCTACCTAGTACTTGTTTCCTAACAACTGCATTACTTACCCGGTGGTCCCAGGATATACGAGCAATGCTTCGAAGACACCTATGATCGAACACTAGTAGCCTACGAATATCCTCTACTCTTATTGGCCATGTTTCACTGCCATAGAGTAGGACGGAGCGAACTGCTGCACAGTAAACCCGTCCTTTGGTTGCTAGACGGATATCTCGCCTACGCCATAAATGACGCAAGTTGGCGAAAGCTAGACGAGCCTTCTGTATCCGTGCTGAGATTTCGTCACATACCAGACCACAAGGGCTGATGAGACTCCCAAGATAAGTGAAGTGGTCTACACGCTCAACTACTTTACTCCCTATAATTAGTTCAGGTGTCGATGCAACCCAATCCTGAAGTAACATTTTGCACTTCGAGGGAGAGAATCGCATTCCGAACATGCCTGCATAGTTGCTTATAATGGTCAGAAGACTCTGCATGTTGTCGGCGTCTTCACCGAGTAAAACTATGTCGTCGGCGTATTGTAAGTCAACAAATTAGCCTCCTGGTAAAAGTTCAACTCCTGGAGGTTTAGCTGATGAAAGTGCTATCTCTAAAAGTATGTCAATGACAAAGTTAAACAAGAATGGGGAGAGTGGACAGCCCTGACGAACGCCACTTGTGGTAATCAGTTCTGATGACAGTTCGCCATAGGCTCTAACTCGACCAGTTGTGCTCGAGTAGAGAGCCTTTATGAGGTTAATGTACTTCTTTGGTACTCCTTTCAGTGACAAACATTGCCATAGAACCTCACGATCAACAGAGTCAAATGCCGCCTTAAGGTCAAGAAATACTACTATTGTGGGACGTCTGAATTTGTGTCTATGTTCTAGAACCTGACGTAGGGTGAATATCTGGTCTATGCAACCACGTCCAGGTCGAAAACCAGACTGGTTTTCTCTAGTCTGCTCGTCACGAGCTTTGGTTAGGCGACCTAGTATTATTGAAGCTAATATTTTAGACACTATATTAGTCAAACTGATCCCTCTGTGATTGTCACAGGAGGACTTTTGTCCTTTCTTATAGACTGGCACAATCAGTGATTGGGACCAGTCAGATGGAATTACGTCCAGTTCCCAGATTCTACCTAAGACCTCAGTCAATCTCACTGCTAGTACTGGACCACCATCCTTAAAAATCTCAGAGGACAACCTGTCAGGGCCTGCTGCTCTCCCTCGCTTCAGATTTCCCATAGCTTTTTCGACCTCACAGAGGGTTGGAGGACTTACATCAATTTTCCATTCAGGACGACTGGGGATCGTGGGTAATTGAAGTGTGGCTGAAGGCCAGTTGAACTGATCCCTAAAGTGTTCTGCCCATCGATCCAACCTCCTGGATTGAGAATGAATAATATGCCCATCTTTATCTGAGATGGTTTCACTGATATTCTGGTTCCTAATACCGGTTTCTTTAACGAGTCTGAATAGCTGCCTACTGTTACCTATTGCCGCTGCCTTTTCCATCTCTCTTGCTTTCGCTACCCACCACTGTTCACGATCATTACGTAGACTTCTTATAAGCCTGCGCTTAAGTTGACTCCGCTCTTCGTTATGCTCAGAGCCAGGTGGGATGAGTTTACGAGCATCTATCAGTGCGATAGATGCTGCCGAGATCCATTGTTTCTCCCTAACTTTATGGTTTACCTTATTAGCGGATATCACTGCTGTTTCCACAGCTTTTCGGATGTCATTCCACGCTGCCTCGGGGTGGACACAACTTACATGGCTGCCTAACTGTTTTTCTAGTTGTTCCTGAAATATATTCTTAGCTTGCCTATCATTAAGTAGAACCCTTAGAGGCTTCCCTGCAGTGTCTTTCCTACGTCCAGTAAGACGCAGACAGATACGTGCTCGCACTAGAGCATGATCTGAATCTAAGCATGTGCCCCAGAATGAGCGACAGTCTTCTATCTAGCCCCTCCATCGGTGGCTGATAGCGATGTGATCTAATTGGGTCCAACGTTGGGACGAATTCGGGGGTCGCCATGTCAAAAGATGTTTTTCCTGATGCTTAAAGTTAGTATTTGCAAGAAATAGGCGGTTATCTGAGCATAGCTGCAACAGACGGTCGCCATTATCTGTTCTTTTCGCCATGACACCATAAGATCCACCCAGGTGTCTTTCCCTTTCACTTAGTTTACCTATTTGAGCATTAAAGTCACCTGCTACTATTACTACATCAGAACGCCTAGCTTCTCGGAGAAGGTCAGAAAGTTTCCTGTAGAACTCATCTTTTATATCGTCTGAGCTGCAGTCAGTGGGAGAGTAGGCAGAGACGACGAAGAGGCAACGACGAGTTTCCCTATCTTTCCGGGTCCTTACTGATCCGTTTAGTCGGACAGCGCATAGACGACTGTCTACTGGGATCCAGTCTAAAAGAGCTAGTTCTGCCCTAGGACTTAATGCTATACCTACTCCAGCGAGGCCACGGGAAGCAGCGTCAGGGCTTCCAGATTCACGGAGCGTGTATCGAGATGAAACTTTATTTTGATTAGGTGCGGTCAAATGAATGACACTACTCGGATCTTGTATGCGCGTTTCGGAGACGCAGCACACATCGATGGTGTAAGATTCTAGAGTCCTAGCTAAGGAAGCCTGTTGTCCTATTTGGCACAATGTTCGGACATTAAAAGTTCCTATATGTAGTTTAGAGCGTGGTTTCAGGAGACCAGGAATAACGTTCTGTGTACTCGAATCGTTTGCCCTAGCGGTGCGACGTGATAAAAGGACGTGGGAAGGGTTAGTCGAGGAGATAACAGAGTTATTAGGTGTAGGAAGGATTTGAAAGCGACCAACTTGGTCTTGTGTGCAGTTAAGGGTACGTCTGGATAGTGTCATGAAAACAATCTGGTGGTTGAATCCTAAATGCCTTTAGACATCTACCCGGGGCAATCCAATTTCGTGAAGGCTTTCTTAGTTTATTGTTGCATACATCCCTTCATTTTATCATTTTTTTAGAACCATTTTATGTTCTGCTGTCATTGATACTACTATTACTATCCATTTAGTTAACTTCATCTCACTGCTGATTCTGTTTGGGAGTTTGAGTTAAAGCATATATGTGTCAAGGCTCTATGCTGTCTGTAATTGACTGATTGATATATATCAAAGTATTTTGGGAAATCCCTGCAAGTTCATCCTCTTATTTATTCAATGGCTTATTTATAAAGTATGCAGAGATTTCTATTGGGTTACATTTAATTCAATTAACTGTTATCGTAAGGGCAATCAATAAATGAAACGTAATAACTTGTCATCAGTTTACTGTGCAACTAATCAGTGACGTATATTGTCTGCGTTTTTCTGATTAATATGATGTCATCAGATTAAACTAAATAACCTACCATTTTGTTTAGTCATTTCCTATCATTCATAACTTGTGATTTTGTTATGTGTTCGGTTCATTCTAGTTTTTCTGTTTTAACTAGGGACTAGAAATAATTTCAGCCAAGCAGGAAAAATTATATCTTATGTCAGTAACTGATTAGCTGTCACTTTTATTTACATGGTTCCAAATTTACTGTAATATTGATACTGTTTTTAAAGTTAACTAATAATCAAACCCTGATTTTTCATATTTATTTCAGACTTCTGGTGAATCCACTCGAAAAGATTTTCAAAACACTCATACATGGAATGAAATAATAAATCACTTTAAATTATTCGTAAAACACCGTAAAATAATTGCTGTAAGTTTAAATGCTCCCGTTTTCTTTTTTTTCAATCATGGGAATGGTTATTTTTTATAACAAATACCTAACTTTAACTCTAAACCCTAACCCTAGATTCTTGGCTCTAATCCACTCTTACTATGAACAGTGTAAAAACTTAAAAATCTGTGGCGTCCTTATAAAGGTTTGGGAAAATGGATGTTCTCCATCTTTATGTACTAACTTATATGCTTTAGTTTTTCTGATTTACAGGAAGAAGGCTTCAATAAATTGATTAACTATGTAATATCTATTTTCCGTCCATAAAACATTTATTTACGATCACTATTTTGTGATTTGCTAACAATGGGCTGAAATCGATCGCGATTACTTTAGGCTCGTCCATATGCTATACTCTTACCATTAATACTACTACTAGATAACTCATACCGAAGTGGACGTAATTTGATTTAAACCTCCAACCTAATGGTTAGAACTCCAGTGTTTTAAACACAGAGACACTTAGATTTGCATAATAAGCTCCTATTTCTTAAATGTTTCTTATTGCAAAATAATGAGGGCCACTATTATTAGTACATGTCATCCACAACTTATGGAATTACAAGGCATGGATTAGATTTTACATTCCTTAGTTTCTTTTTTGTAATGATACTTTTTTAAGTATGACATGGATAACACCAGTCTGGTGACGTTTGACATAATTTCCGTGTTATCAATATGAATTTACCACCTTTTTTGTTTGTTTTTTTGTATAGCAAAACTATTTAATCCGATTATTAAAGTTGAGAACTATACTGGAAGTTTCCGATTTCTTTGCTAAACATGAGGTTCGTCTTAATTTTATTTGAGTTTACTTACTATATCTTTATTTATTTATTTGAACACATAAATATTGGTACAAAGGGGCACCAGATGTATATGCGTCACACAAAATAATGAGGATGGGTAGAGAAAAAAAGAACAATAACAACCCCAGCTTAGTATATTTTGATGTAATAATAAGAATAATAGTGGGGGAAACGGAAATGTACGACCAGAAGATCTCTTTCAGTTAAGGAAATCATAACCATTCTTTATGAAGAAAGTAAAAGGTTACAGCAGGATCGCCACTGGCTTCTATTCTGAGCCATATCTGATAACGTCTCTAGCCACTGTTGCATCATCTCTAGGACCCCAATCATGGAGCTTTAAAGGACTGACAGAAGCCAGTCTTGTGCAGCTTTCTTTCATACCACGACACCATGTTATACACTAACCACCTCTCCGCTTTTTCCAACCAATCCTAGCGTCGGCAAATAATGCACGACGAGGAATTCTCTGAAACGACACTCGTAGAATATGTCCAAGCCACTGAATTCGGTGTTTCAAGATGGTGACACCAATTGGATTATCGTCTCTGCGCCCAAACACACGATGCTGAGCCTCAGCATTGTTAACATGGTGTTGTCACTGGATGTCCGCAATCCTTCGGAGACAACGATGATCAAACACAGAGAGTTGTCTAACATCCTCAACTCAGAGAGACCAGGTTTCATAAGCATAGAGCAAAACTGCTCTCACCGACGCGTTGTAGATCCGACCTTTTACAGCCAGACTAACATCACGAAGGTGCCAAAGATGGCCCAGATTGGCATAAGCCGCTCTGTCTCTCATTATACGTGCATCAATCTCATCACTCACGCCGCCACCAGCACTTATGTAGCTACCTAGATACACGAACTTCTCAACTACTTCAATCTGCTCACCATCCAGGGTGAGTACAAGATTAGAATCCTGCCAATCTTGTAGGAGTACTTTGCACTTGGAGGTTGCAAAGCACATGCCGTACCTGCGGACACTGATTACCAACTGATTAAGTGCGGATTGCATGCCTTGGGCATTATCACACAGTAAGACAATATCCACATACTCAAGGTCGAGAAGTCTTTCTCCAAGCAACAGATCCACACCACCATTACTTACATCCATTAGAGCTGTTTCCAGAATGTCATCGATGGAAAAGTTGAAGAGGAATGGTGAGATTGGGCAACCCTGTCTAACCCCAATTGCTTGAATGAAACAATGAAGAAAGGTGGTTGTATGCCCTCACTTTGCTTGAGGTGTTTGTATATAGGGCTTTTTAAATGTTAATAAAATTCTCAGGCGTACCCCTCTTCAATAGACAATCCCAGAAAAAAGTTCTGCCCAACGAACCGAAGGCGGCCCTGATATCAAGAAACACTACGATTGTTGGCCTGTGATAAGTATGACGGTGTTCTAACATTTGGCGGAGGGTGAAGACATGATCAATACATACTCAACCAAAACGAAAACCAGCCTGCTCCTGGCGAGTCAATCTTTCTCGGATTTTGAACAACCTAAGAAGTATGACAGAAATCAATAGTTTGGACGCAATCGGAAGTAGACTTATCCCCCGATAATTGTTACAGAAACGACATGAGCCCTTTTTAAAGATAGGGACAACTATGGACTCATTACATGTCGTTGGAACACTCCCTAGCTCACAGACTTTTGTAAACAACTCAACCAGTTCTTTAACCAGAAAGTCACCACCATCTTTAAAAAGAGCCGGAGGTAAGTCAGATGGGCCCGGTGATTTGTAGCGTTTCAAGAGTTGGAGTTCTTTTCGGACTTCCGCCTCATTTGGTGAAGCAGTCGTCACAGGCTATGGAGGACAGGACAATCTGATCGATGTTGCCGGAGCAGCTGGTCAGTTCAACTGCCCTTCAGTGGATTCTGCACAGATGCAGAATCGACGTCCAAGACGTCGATAGATGTTAGTGATTGGCATCCCGTCATCCTCACAGATTGTTTCACTCACACCAGACTTCTTGCTGCCAGTGGCTCGAATGAGTTGGAAGAGCTTCCGGCAGTTATCAGATGTATTAGAAGATTTAAAACTTTCTTGTAAGATTTTTTGAAGGGGATTGTAAAATCTAACTTTGTTCTATATAAGCGAAATTACAACATACATTTTAATACAGCTGGTGTCAATAAAAGTCGCTCATTTAAAGTACCTACAATGTGATTTTTATGATTCATTTTGAATCGCGTTTGCAAATATTTCATTTCGCAGACTTTTTTTTGTCTTGATACTGATACAGAAATATTAACTTTTTGTGAACGAATTACGTAGTTGTATGTAAATAGTCAAACTAATGAGTCAGCTGTGCTATTTCCTGACATGAAAACGATCATGAACTGTCTTCGCATACCGTTCAACTTCACACTGATAAAATCATCATTTGCTCATCCAAAGGTTTTCTAGTATTATTATGATCAATTTTACGATGAATTCCCAGAATAATCACCCATCACAATTCAGATCCTATTTTACGCATCAAATTTTGACAAGTATTTGTGTTCACCCAATAAGTCAATGTTAAACTAAAGTGTAGTGGGTTTTTTTCTAGATGTGAAGCCGTGTTTCTAGTTTCAAATCAATCGTTTTAAATGTGGTCAGTATTATAGAAGCATTTAACCAAGTCAAGGTATCTACTCATTAGGCGTTAAATTTTACTATATGACAGTAAAAAGTAAGAAAATAACTAAGAGCTCCGGTTAGTAGTAGTAAAGTTTCTCAGTTTTTGTGGATGGCTGTTGTTTGGTATTATTATTTCCGCTGTACTTTTATTTTAAAATACACGTTCAGATTACAAATGTATGCATATATAATGTAAAATTTAATACTGACTTCATTTGTAATTTAATATGAATTATTGATTGTTGTTTATGTATAGATTTTTATTCCTATGAATAAAATTAATGATTGGTGAAGGTTTTTGGCCCGGTTTATTTAATCTTACATAAATCAAAACTTTGTATCAATGCATAAATATTATCGATATATGTCATTTTTAGTAAGAGCTTGCAATTTCCCCTTGTTTATATTCAGGACACATCAACAAGGGGAAATTACGAAGCTTTATTGATACCTTCACACCCGTTGAATACGTTAGTGGTTATCTGGATGATATATTGGGCAATTGACGGGGAACATATTTACTTCGAGATCCTATGTGAAGATCAGTACAGACAAGCAGGCAAATCCACCAGATGAGTCTTAAATAGGATAAGACACTCATCCTGGGTCCCACTGCTAACCACATACCAATTACACTAAAATATGTCGATTTTGTTTGTTAAAGTAAATTTTCGTTGACTAACTGATCATTGTGAGTGGGATCCATTCAAAAGTATTGTATGCATGTCTGTAAATCCTTCTTAGCCTTGTTTTCTAGTGATAATGATAAGATCAAACGCAGATGTTCAATAACAGTGTGCTTTCAGTGTATGGCGTGAAACTCTTTGTCATAGTTTTGTAGAGAGTTACAGGATCTTAGCAGAGTCGTATATCAGAATGTAACTTATGTTTATTTACTCCTTAGTTCTCAGTGATTTTCCTGTGGATACCAGTTTGTGGTGGAAGTTACCTTCAACTCGTGACATTTAATTAGATCTTAGCTAATTTCAAGATGTATGGTTTATTAATCTGTTTAATTACCCTAGTAATAATTTATTTGTTCTCAGTAGTTGAAATAAATTATTTACATCATTCTCTCTACAAGATGGTTATTTACTTTTAATTATTTATTACACTACATATGATCACAGGATAGATTTTTGAGCTAATATGCTTATGAACTACAAACTTTTTAATGCTGTAAAACAAATAAATAATGAACACTACGCTGAGATGTCATCAAGACTGTTTTAGACGAATTCTTTTGTTATAGACAGGGGATTGGTGGCAGTTCGATGGATATCTGTCCAAATTGTTTTATGTTTCAAACACTTTTTTCTTTTCTAACCTCATTAACTACTGTCAATAGACTAAACCAAACCTGAGATGGTCATAGTAGTTGGAGGATGACTTTAATCTGTTTGAATATCGAATAGGGAAAAGGAAAAACAAACCTGTCAGTAGAATCGCATTGTTACATTTTCAGGTAGCTACGTATAGATAATGCCCATCATCAAATTCTAACTCATCATTAATATGCTCGTCATCAAGCGCAGGTAGTTCATGCTGTAAAAAATTCAGCAAACACATAACCCTTTTGATTCCTTTTATATTGGATCAAAGTAATGTTTTGTTGTATTCTTATGTAACTTCTAACTACCAACTATTGTGGTTCTTTTAATGCGAATTCTATAAACGCCTGACGGGGGATGTCTTTGCAACACATTTCAATCATAATCCCCAACGCGACTGAAGGCCGGAAGAAGTTAGTTGACCAGGTAAAATTGATATTCAAAAATATAAATTCGAAATAGAATAGCGCTGTATATATTTAGTAACAAACATGACCTTAAGACAGTAAAATTAGCAAACTGAAATGGAGGATAATTAATCAAATGACAGCAAAGATAAATGTGGAAATATGAATCAGAAAAATGCTATTATGGTTGTTCTTTCATGTATGTGCCAACATTTATTCACAAAAAAACTAAATAACCTGTGGTAGTCTCAGCGAAGTTACCTTCATTCTTTAATTTTATAGTGATTGATTTCATTTATGTAGGTGCCGTCTTCAAAATACTTATTTTATATACATGTTTTGCATAAGATTCTTGATTTATCATAATGTGACTACTGATAACTTCGATAAATTGTTGTCATAATTTCTTTGTTTTTTTTGTTTTAAATTACTGATATGGTTTTTAATTCTCAAGAAAATAATTCCTTATTAATATGAAAAACAAATAGAACAATTTTATTCGTAAATGCTAGAAACTATGTCATTGAACAAAGAGGAGCTTGCAGTAATATTTGGATTTGGCTATTATCACTATTATTATTGTTATTATTAATTAATAAATTATTATTAATAGCAATACCACAATGGAGATCTAATAATATTAGTATAGTTTTTCTTTAGTCGGGTACTGGAAGTAACATACTAAACCATCATACTAATTTAATTGATAATCGTTTGCATTTCTCATGCCTACATTGTGAATTATGCATGCGGTATAATACTCCAATTGCATTTTGTCAAAAATTATTATATATCCTTATAACAGGGAATTTGACTTATCCATTTGTTGGTGATATTGAATGAATTTTGACCATTCTTTGTTGAAATATATGCATCCTTTGCGTATTGCTTGGATATAACCGTTTTTCAGAAGCCTTTATAGAAGAGATGGATTAATGACTACGGTAGAATTCAGGACACGCGTTTCGTCTTATTTGGGACTCGCCATCTGGGCGTATATGCATCCTAGTGTTGGTTTCTACATCAGGATCAGAACCCACTAACTTCCGCTTCGAATGCTCAACGTGTTATACACTGAGCCACTTATTCCTGATAGCCATCCACTTGTGCAATGAAGGGTTCGAGTCCCTATGTGAACTTTAACACTGGGATACAAATGCATGTCTCAAATAGGACAACTGACATTAAATCCACCTATCCCGTAAAAAACTATTTTGTTTGAGTATTTTTTAAGTAGTAGTTTTGTAATGGATATTTTTGTCTATGTTTATTGATGTCTTGATGAAGACAAAGCACGGAGTTAACAATATTTCCATCCAACTATTTAACACTGCCCTATTTACAATTAACTTGCATAATCTTGGCAATGGTATCATGCATTATTTTTTTTGTGTGTTAAATTTTTAAACAGAAAATTAAAACTCCCTTATCTTTATTCTTTATCTTCCATTTCAGTTTATCGGTTCTTCATTATTATTTGTTCATGATGAATCAGGCTATGCTAATATCTGGTTAATTGATTTCGCTAAAATAGGCACTCCTTCGAACAATCATATTCGTGTAAACCATCGTTCTGTATGGAAAATTGGCAATTATGAAGATGGTTATTTAATTGGAATTGATAATTTAGTGAAATTATTCGAGCAAATTATTCATGAATGTCAGTAGTTGAAGCTTTCATAGATTATTCCCTTTTGCTTTTCCGTTTTCACGTCTTTGTGAGTGTTTATATATATTATATATTCAGAAGAACACTACGATCTATATCCGGTTTACTATACGATATCCATATTTTCCAATTTTTACGTCGATTGCTTAGAACTAAATGATCTTTCCATAAAACAACTGACGTGTTGTGCATTGACTCAATAATAGTTAGCTTTCCCATTTTGTGTTCGTTTATTACTGCCTGATCTTATCCACTCCTCCCCCACCTTTTGATCGCAACAGTACATTACAAAATAAACTAAATTAATAGATCACTTAAAAGAAACATTCGTTTTTTTACATTTTCATGTTTTTTTTAAAAATTGATTTCTAAAAATCAAAATTGTCTGCACAACGTATGTAAAAACAGTTTCAATATCTTTTTTTTTACTTGTGATTTAGACGCATATTTTTGATAAATGAAATAGTTTTTTGTTCAAATGTTTTCATCATCAAATGTATTTCGCCACATCTATTTTTTTCTACAATTATTTTTGTTTCTTTGACATAGTACTAATATTCTCAATATTGATTTGTTACTGTAACATTAGTTTATCAATTTCAAACACATTCCAACTATGCCAATTTGGATGATTAAAGAATGTTGAATGTCTCATATTTTTCCTTCTGATTTATGCGTGTTAATTACAAGTGACCTGTGCTGTGTGAAGGGTATTTTGACTGTTGACATAGTAACTGGGATTATTGATGTTACCAGTTCAATGCGGTTCTCTTCCACAAACCATTACTTTTTTGGAGAGATTTAGGGAAATGTTATCTGAGTCCTGATACAGTAAATATCATCCACTAGATTATGGTCTCAGATTAGTTATAGGAGTGATTTGGAATTAACAATGTATCTTTCTGTAACTAGCAACATCTCAAGATCCAAGACTTGCATTTCAACAGAAAGAGCATATTTAAATTGGTCGAAAAGATACCTTGCTATGAAGTAGTGCTTGATTTGTAAGTCTGTAGAAGCATAAAATTTAGAACTAAGTGTTCAATATATGTGATGTGATATGTCTTCTAATTGAACGTTACTTCGTTATATCTGGTCGTTGCTGATTGTTATGTCAGAATCACTTATACTTGTAAAGCGAGGAACCACTACAATTCCCACGACGTGAAAGTAAGAACACGAAAACTGATACAAGTAAAGATTTATTAATCCAAAAAGACGACGACTCTAGTCGATGAAATCACATATGAAAAATACTTGGAGTTATAACAAATCACATGCTGTATTTCATTCTGAGCATAGTTCATTTTAATTTAATACAAGAATATCGTATGTTATACAGAATAAAATATCATACGGGAAAACAAATACTACACAGAGTAATCATCACAATGAATTAAAACGGAAGGAATGTTAAACACGAAGTCACAATAAGTAAAAGAATGTAATTTTGAATTTTTATCCCGTCGTATAATGTGGGGATCTCTGAAAATCATTTGGTTGTTAATTGGGACTAAAGAAATGATTCTCCAAAAACCTAGTGTAGTAGGTGTTTGACACAATAAACTACATGTCTTCAGTCTCTCCTCAAGCTCTCTAACCCTTTTCCTATATATGCTATATCAATAAATTATCATAACAGTAATTAAGTATCATTAAGCCCATGATAATCAATTTCCGTAGGGAATTGAGTGTTGCGAATGAATGTGTGAATACTACTTTGATTTCTACAATGATGAGAAACAAACTGGAATCGACAAGTCCTCTTTTCTCAGTAGCTATGTGAGAAGATAGGTTATCTTTTTTATATCTCTTATTCAGTGTTGTTATTTGATGTAACAGTTAATTGTAGGTTTATGTTCATATATCATTGGACGAGCACAAGCAGAGACAAAATATTTCATTAAAACGGTCAGCTGATCTAAGTCAGATCACTGAAAACCTTGCAGCACTTGACGGCCCTGTCGTCCTAGTATGGGACTCTAGGCAGTGCACGTCCAAAGTCCTATAACCGTAAATCAAACTCAGGACCTTCAGTCTCACGCGAATGCTTAATCTCTAGGCCACTGAGCCGGGATCCAATGGTGTTAATGTCTAGCTTCATTGAAAGGTGTTAAAATGGGTCGCTTGTAACTACTTACTTTTCTCAGCAATAGATATTTCCAATTTTCTTAAATGGTAGTCTAGCCTAAAAGTTTTCCACGAAGTTTAATATTCTCCACAACAAAATACTGACAATATATTTGTCCAGAGTCCTATAAATTAAATAGATCTATAAATCAATTTAGTGTATAACTTTTGTTCATAATGCTTATTGGAATGTTTCGTCAATTAGATCCAATTATTAGTTCTGATTTAAAGTATTTCTAAGGTGAAGATATTCACTCCGAATCTCTTACTGCCATGATGTTTACTTTTGAGTACAAGATATAACGAGTAACTCTGTCATATATTGAACTCCTGGTTTACATTTAAGTTTATTTTTATTTATAATGTTTAATTTCCATGTTCTGTGTATAAACATGCATTAAGGTCCTGTAGGTGAGTTGAGATTCACTCAGTGTTGCATTCAAACTCGATATAATTCCCTTCACCAAAACTAGTCCCTATAATATTTAATTCCAATATCTCATTTTGTAATAGAATATATTTCTACGTCGATGCTGGTTAACATAAAGCCCAATCGAATAACTTTATAAATGCAGGAAGTGTTCTAGTTTCAGATAAAATACACTCAGTTTAACTATATGCTATTTTTGAACTAAAATGCGAACACATTTGAAGTGTTCACAAAGTACAATTTGTCCTCAATTAGTACTTTTTATGTCAAATATTTATTCACACTTAGAATTCATGTTATTGTATGCGTTAGGTCATTTATGCAAACAATACATAAACAACCCTAACTTCTGTTATATTTATTTGAGTATATTGGGTCAGTCACGTGCCAAACTTTGCAAAATTTTAAAAACTACATGCTCTTGAATTGTATGGCTACTAAAATTATTGGTATCATGCTTAATATGACCGTATATGCATATGCGTAATTCTAGGCATTTTTGTACTGAGTAAACTGTAAAATTCTAGAAAGTGGCAATCTGCCAGAACTATTTATTTTATTAGATAAATTGTGAACAGTGGATATTCTATATGAAAGTTCATAAATAAATATATACTTGTCATTGGATTTTAAGGTTAAAATATATATCAAATAACTAAGCTAGTTTTATAAGCAAAGATGGACAGTCGCTAACAGTGGAATCCAGGACGCACGTTTCGTCCTAATCGGGACTCATCAACTGGATGTACCTGCATTTCACAGTTGATTTTCACTGTGGGACTCGAGTGAATAACGCGATGGCGTTTGAAGCGAAAGGTACTGGGTTCAAGTCCCAGAGTGAAAATCAACTCTGAAACGCAGTTACACCCAGCTGACGCGTCCTGGCTTCCAGTGCTAGCCACTATCCATCTTTGCTTACAATGCTTGTGAAATAAGGTAATAAGCACAGTATACACATATGTCAATTAGAGACTGACCAGTTACAGTCCTAAACATCAATGGGAAGATTCAAACAAACAATACCAAGTGAATTAGGCTAGTTTTATTTTAAATTCTGCTTGTTCAAAAAATTATTCAAACAATTTACTAAACTCACTTGGTATTGTTTGCTTGTATCTATTCATTGTTGTTTAGGTAATCATTTGATCAATCTCTTGTTGGCATATATACATCTTGTACGGACTGCCTCGATATTGCTTCAGGTCGCAAGCTTTATAAGCAAATTTACTAAGCTTACAAAAATGTTGTTAAGCTTAAAATCGACTTCGTTAAAACAAATTTAATTTTAGTTATTAGAAAAGTACTGTTATGATTTGTCTAATTACTCTATTTTAAACTATCAAATGCGTTAATTGATAGAACAACAATATCTCAAGAATTATTCAAGAGAGAGTATCCATAATATGGTCTTGACCATTGTGACAAACTTCAACAGAATGAATAAACAATATTAAAAGATGAAGTTGTAAATATAATAAAACGAAATTCACTGTTATTTTCAAAAGTAATTAAATGAATTACGCTTATTACCCCTTGTGGAGGATTATGGACCGGCAACCATAATTCTCCATCGAACTCTGTCCTAGACAATCTTTTTCAGTTCTTTCTAGTTGATATTCATCTTTTTCATGTCTGCTTCCAATTACCAACTTAATGTGTTCTTCGGCTTTCCGTTTCCTTTCAAGATTGCAAGTTAACAATTGCCTCGTTATGCAGTTTGGTGATTACCTCAATGAATGTTTATCCACCATTATCGTCTTTCCCCAATTTCCTCTTCAGATGGAAGCTGGTTTGTTCTCTTCCACAGGAGGCTGTTGCTGATAGTATCGGGTTAACGGACATTGCGTATCTTGCGTAGACAAATGCTAACAAATACTTGTACGTTTTTTTACGATGGTTGTAGTACTTCTACACATTTCAGCTCCGTACACTAGAACTATCTTGACGTTCGTATTAAAGATTATGACTTTGATATTTATTAACAGTTGTTTTGAGTTCCATACGTTCTTTAACTGCAGGAATTCTGTCTTTGTTTTGCCAATCCTTCCTCTTATATCTGCATCAGATACTCATTGTTCATCGACGATGCTGTCCAGGTACGTGAAAGTATCCATCTATTCCAGAGTTTCTCCATCAAGTGTGATGGTGTTGCTGTTCTTCATGTTGTGTTTGAGGATCTTACTTCTTCCCTTGTATATGTTGAGGCCTACTGATGCAGAAGCTTCTGCTACACTGGTTTTCTTCACTTGCATTTTTTCGTGTGTATGGGATAGGTTGACAAAGTCATCTGAGAAGTCCAAATCGTCTAGTTGCATCCAGGCTGTCTATTGTAGTCCGTACTACCTCATCAGATGTGGTCTTCATAATCAAATAAAGAGAACTTCATGAGCAATAAAAGCCTAAACTTGTCAAATCTTTGTTTTTATACTTTAGTGTGTT